ATTTTATTTTTTAAGTAATCTCTATACCCAATGTGGGGCTTGAACCCACAACCCCAAGATCAAGAGTCACATGCTCCAGTCAGGCACCCTTATAATAACCTTGAATAAGGTCTTCCTTACCTGTTTAATGTTGTTGAGTGCAGTTTTTCTTTATTGTTACATATTTCTCCCATTCCAAGGAAGAAAGGAGAGCCAGGAGGGAAGAGAGAGGGAAGGAGGGAATAAAAAACGAAGGAAGGGCTGATCCAACAAATTATTACAGTTATCGTTTCTTCAGTTAAAGGATATTGCAAAATTAAAGTGGCAGAAAGAACAATTTCAGAATAAAAGAATTCTTTCAAGTTGAATAAATCTAGCATTATGAAAAATATAATCCATTTTCTTTTCTTTTTTCATTTCAGCACGGACTTCTGTGCACTGGGGTTTAGGAACCACAGGCCTATGGGATGAACTCTAAACTCCACCTGGTTGTTTTCGTCTTTGAGGCTACTGATAATCTGGTCTAAATTTTCTATTTTCAAGATTCCCTCCCATCTTCACTCCAATCAAATACATCCACCCTCAATTTCATTTTTCTCTTCATCTGTAATCGGCTTTTCCCTCCTTTCTTCTTGCCTAGGTCCTGCTTTCCTTTCAGGACCCAGTTTATCCTGATTCCTCCATGAATACAAAACCTTTCTCAAAAACAAACTGGTGGTTGCCAAAGGGGAGGGATTTGGGGGTATGGATGAAACTGGTGAAGGGGATTAAGAAGTACCATCTTCCAGTTATAAAACACATGAAACACGGGGATATAACGTACAGCACAGGGAACATAGTCAGTAATATGGTAACAACTCTGTATAGTGACAGATGGTAACTACACTTATGGCGGTCACCATTTCGAAATGTACGTAAATATCAAATCAGCCATGCTGTACGCCAGAAACTAATACAATACTGTATGTCAACTATTCTCCAAATTAAAACAAAACAAAACCTTTCTCTGGTGCTCTTTCTCTTCTTGCTCTAACCTCTTGAAAGTCACTTTCTTTTTCTTTTTTCAGTAAAAATCATGTGGAATTTCACTGACTACTTCACTCTATACAATGCCCAAATGTGTACTTTCAACCCAGACCTCTCTCTGGAATTCCCGACTTGTATATTCAACAGCTTTATGATATTTCCACTGAAATGGCTGTATAGACATCTTTCACTCAACATTTCCAAAACAAAAGAAGTCCTCATCTTTTTCCAAACACTGCTCTACCTGATGACAACATGTTCTTCTAGTCCCTCATGTGAAAACACTTAGAATTATTGTGGGGGTGCTTGGGTGGCTCAGTAGGTTGGGCATCCGACTTTGGCTCAGGTCATGATCTCACCGTCCGTGGGTTCGAGCCCTGCATCGGGTTCTGTGCTGACAGCTCGGAGCCTGGAGCTTGCTTCCAATTCTGTGTCTCCCTCTCTCTCTGACCCTCCCCCACTCAAGCTCTGTCTCTGTCTCTCTCAAAAATAAATAAACATTAAAAAAATTTTTTTAAATAAAAAAAAAAGAATTACTGTGAATGTCCTTCTCTCACACCCACATCTACTCTGTCTAGGCATCCCATAGATTCCATCTTTACACAGATGTATTCAAATCCAATCACTTCTCACTATCTCACATTTAGTGGAGTCATTCTCCCCTCTCCTAGATTACTGAATTCGGCAAGGAATTAGTCTCTGTATTTCCACATTTGCCCCTCTCTGCAAAATCTATTTATACACAGTAGCCAGAATGATCCTTTCAAAGTATTAAGTCATATCATGTCACCTTACAATGGCTTCCCAATTCACTCAGAAGAAAAACTCACGTCCTTAATGACTTACAAAACCCTATCCAATCAGTCCCCTTCCCCCCCCCCCCCCCCCCCCCCCCATTCTCTCCTACTCTTCTTGAGACTCCTGCTCTCCCAGGATACCTCCATTCCAGCCCACTGGCCACCTTGCTTTGCTTTAAATTTGTCAGACAGAATGACCCTTTAGGCTTTGTTCTAGCTGCTCCTGCTGCATAAAACACTCTTCCCTTGGGTGGTCTTCAGGGTTCACGTTCACACCTTCCTCAAGTCTTTATTCATATCTCACGTTTGCAACAAAAATTACTTTCATCCCTTACTTAATATTACAACTTGCACCTTCACTCTCTCCATCTCTGACACAACCAATGTCACTCTTTCTAAAATCACCTTACTCTTAAACTACCTTGAGTCACAATGTGCTCTCCTGAGAACTGGAAAGACCTAGAAGACTCCCTTAAAAGTACAATGACTTGTAAATTCGAAAATGAGTCATTTAACCTCAGCTTCCCTGCACACCAAAATTGTGAGTGCCTATGGGATACAAGTCTTTGTATCCTATACAAGGATGAGAAGAGATGGCTAGAGGAACAGAATAAGAGGAAGGACGGAGAAAGAGTATCATTTAGTGAGCTAATCACTGAGAAACTACGTAATTTGTAATCTAACCACATCCTGAGAGACAAGAAAACTTGCAAATTGCAACATGAATTGCAAATGAAGAGAGAAAAAAAAACCTAGATATTTTCAAACAGAGACAGGTGTTGATAAAGAGTTATCCAGAAAATTTAGTAGTGGCCCAAGGTCCTTATGGATGTTTGTTTTCCTTGCAATGGTTTCTTACAGTGAGAAAGACAACTGTCTCTATACAGATAATAGTGAGTTACTTTGTTTTTTGAAGGAAGGGACACCTAGGTGGCTCAGTCAGTTAAGCATCTGACTCCTGATTTAGGCTCAGGTCATAATCTCATGGTTTGTGGATTCAAGTCCTCTGCCCTGGCAACGTGGAGGCTGCTTGGGATTCTCTCCCTCTGTCTCTGTCCCGTTCCTGCTCTCTCTCCCCCTCTCTCTCAAAATAAATAAAAATGAAAACATTTCTTAAAAAATGAAGATCAAAATATAAACCCATGCAACCATGAGATGTGAGAAAATGTTTTGGTTTGTAATTTTGGTATTTTGAAGGGCAAGAATTTGGGGTTTCTTGCTTTGATTACTGTACTTTTTACAAAGATAATATACTCATAAAAATAATAGCCATGTGATCAGTCCCTTTTAGTGCTTTCTGTTTTCATGTTCAACTGAATATGAAAACTTTCCATGAACCCTAAAACTTATCTACAAGGAAAACACCATCTTAACAACAAAGTTTACATTTGAAATTATTGCATCTTAGGTAATACAAATCAATCATCTCAACTAAAACAGAGTTTCAAACTAAGATATAGCAAACTATTGAAATCAAATTATTTACTCATGTTAGAAAGCACCAACATTTAAAAGGGACAAAAATATGAGCTCACCATTAAAACACACTCATAATTTCAAAAACGTGATCAATGTCTTAGACACAATAACCCAACCTTCATAACACACACAAAAAAAATTATTCCATTTTGATAATTAATGTTTTAATAAAAATGTTTCATTTGAAAATCATTCTCCTACCTTATTTTGATTTTAAATGACTTCTGAACTTTATGAATATCAGAACAAAATTTATCCTATCTTAAAATCTCTTTTTAATGAGACTAAAGGAAAAAAACAGAATCTAGAATGAATTCTATACAAAGTTTTCCTTGTGGTGCTCTCCAGTGTCATTGTTGGCATCTTCCTTATTATAATATGCAACAGCACTCAGAATCTGTAAATTATTTCTGGATGGAATCATTTTTAAAAAGTAACTTTATGCAACTTTTTACTTACACATTCTGTGGCTGTGACTATCAATGAGCTTGAGATAACAGATTTTCCTCCATTAAAGCTCACTGAAACATCAAGAGTTCTGAAAGAAAATGAAAGAAACAATAATTAAAAATAAATTAAAAATGAGAGGATTGTGGGAGATTTTTATTTCTGCATATAATTCAAAACAAGCAAGAATGTTTACTTTTGATCAGTTATCCCCACTTTTTTCTTTCTTAGCTCCAGTCATTACTTAGTAGCCAGAGGCAAATTCCTTAAATGATCTAATTGTTCCTAAAAGAAAGATTAACATAAATAGTAACATTAAAAAATTCCTTGAGAGAAATGCTGAGGCTGTCTTCCCAATACCCTAAAAAGGATAAAAAAAAAAAAAAAAAAAAAAAAAAAAAACACTTAGATCCTATTTACCATATTTCCCCTGTCTTCAGACATTACTACCATCACAAGATTATTAAGAATAAAAAATTGGAGGGGTACGTGGGTGGCTCAGTAGGTTAAGTGTCCGACTTCTGCTCAGGTCATGATCTCATGGTTTGTGGGTTAGAGCCGCACATTGAGCTGTCAGCTCAGAGCTTGGAGCCTGCTTTGGATTCTGTGTCTCCCTCTCTCTCTGTCCCTGCCCTACTTGCACTCTGTCTCTCTGTCAAAAATAAACATTAAAAAAAAATTCTTAAAAAATAGATAGGTAAATAAATAAATAATTGGAAATAATAAACCATTCAAGGTTAAAATATAGAGAAAGAGATAATACAGGAGAGAGAAACTGAAGAAAAACGAGAATGCAATGTCCATGTAGGTATTTGTTGTAGATGATCCTAGGACATCAAAATATCTTGACAAAGGTAAATGTCAATACTACCCAAAGCTATCTACACATTCAATGCAAT